CACTGCACCTGTGATATAAATGTTGGAAAGCGTGAACAGGTACAAGCTCTGCCTCTGATTGGTCACACCATTGTACACGACACAAAGCACATTCACCCTGCACTTGTAAGAGGGGTGCAATCACTCAGGGAAGACCCCCCACACTGAGCCATGGGGGGTGGTAAGTACAAGGAGGTATGCCATCTAATCTCCAGCTTACCTTGAAGCCATCCCATGTCAGGGGCTGTAGGGAGAGCAGATGGTGTTTCCACATGGTCAGCTCCATAGCCCCGCCCCAGCTCTGGCCCCTCCCCCAGCTGTCCAGGTGGAAGGTCAGAAATACATGTATGGATCTGGAGTGAACATTCGTGGTTGTAGTCTCTTCTGCACGGCTCGCCCGTGGACCGGAAGTGTCAGCGCTGGATTGGGACAGAACGCCATATTGGAAGCCCAGTGGGTGTGCCACCATTATTCCAGACCCAGCCTGAGCCACAACCTCCGCTCACACAACTGCCATACCTCAGGTGGTCACTTCACCCCTTTGACCCCAAACACATATTCATGACACGGGTTGATGAAGGTGGGAATTAACCTCACCTAGTGCCCAATCTGCAATACATTATCCTCAGGACCCGCCTCATTATAGGGGTTCAAGGTGGCCACCCTAGTCCTGGGGGGGGAGGGTGCAGTGTCCATAGGGCGCTCTGCGTAGGTACGACCTCCTGGAGAAAAGTATCTTGAACATCAAGTGGAGGGAAGGAAGAGGACATGGGATCACAGGAAGCACTGGAGCGGATCTTCCAGAGTGGAGGCAAACTCTAGTACAGGAAACAGCAAGGAAGGCGCCTCTAAGTGCAGTATGCAGCATTTATTAGGTTGTAAAGGCCGGGGGCCATCTTGCCCGTGTGTTCCACAAGTATGGCAGCTATCTTGCCCGTGCATTCCACACCTCTCCCAGAAGTATGGCAGCCATCTTGCCCGTGCATGTTCCACACCTCTCCCAGAAGTATGGCAGCCATCTTGCTGCATGTTCCACACCTCTCCTAGAAGTATGGCAGCCATCTTGCCCGTGCATGTTCCACACCTCTCCTAGAAGTATGGCAGCCATCTTGCATGTGCGTTCCACACCTCTCCTAGAAGTATGGCAGCCATCTTGCTGCATGCGTTCCACACCTCTCCCAGTAAGTATGGCAGCCATCTTGCCCGTGCGTTCCACACCTCTCCCAGAAGTATGGCAGCCATCTTGCATGTATGTTCCACACCTCTCCCAGAAGTATGGCAGCCATCTTGCTGTGCATTCCACACCTCTCCCAGAAGTATGGCAGCCATCTTGCCTGTATGTTCCACACCTCTCCCAGAAGTATGGCAGCCATCTTGCTGCATGTTCCACACTTCTACCAGAAGTATGGCAGCCATCTTGCCATATGTTCACACACCTCTCCCAGAAGTATGGCAGCCATCTTGCCCGTGCGTTCCACACCTCTTCCAGAAGTATGGCAGCCATCTTGCCCGTGCATTCCACACCTCTCCCAGAAGTATGGCAGCCATCTTGCCCGTGCATTCCACCACACTTACTCCCCAGAAGTATGGCAGCCATCCTTGCCTGTATGTTCCACACCTCTCCCAGAAGTATGGCAGCCATCTTGCCCGTGCGTTCCACACCTCTCCCAGAAGTATGGCAGCCTTCTTGCCCGTGCGTTCCACACTTCTCCTTAGAAGTAGTGGCCTTCTTGCCTGTGCGTTGCACACCTCTCCCAGAAGTAGTGAATGTCTTGCCTGTGCGTTCCACACCTCTCCCAGAAGTAGTGTCTTGCCTGTGCGTTCCACACCTCTCCCAGAAGTACAGTGGCCATCTTGCCAGTGGGAGTTCCACCACAACTGGCTACCACTGGTCGGCTGAATGTGCTCCTTTGGCATTATACTTGATCATCATTTATCTGACTGCCATCTCAGACCCGTGCTTCTAATCCTATATAACATAACAAACTGCTCTATACTGCACATAGAAGTGCCATCCTTGCTGTTTACATCCTTAGGGGGGGGCTGCTGTCTCCATGGTGGGAGGGAAACCTCGGGCTCACCATAGGAGGAGAATGTATACAAATCCACCTTTTGTCTCCTCTGTAACCAGTCAGAATACCGGGTGGGAGAGGCAGCCAGACAGGGAGGTCCCTACAACTGGCACATCGGCTGGAAGGACTCCTGTGAAGTAATCTGATGGCTCCCCGGCTGGTCGGAAGCACACAGAACGGTGCACTCCCTCATCTGTCACACTGCACGGCGCGCTCCCCCGTCTGTCACACTGCACGGCGCTCTCCCCCGTCTGTCACACTGCACGGCGCGCTCCCCCGTCTCTGTCACACTGCACGGCGCGCTCCCCCGTCTCTGTCACACTGCACGGCGCGCTCCCCCGTCTGTCACACTGCACGGCGCGCTCCCCCGTCTGTCACACTGTACGGCGCGCTCCCCCGTCTGTCACACTGCACGGCGCGCTCCCCCGTCTGTCACACTGCACGGCGCGCTCCCCCGTCTCTGTCACACTGCACGGCGCTCTCCCCCGTCTGTCACACTGCACGGCGCGCTCCCCCCGTCTGTCACACTGCACGGCGCTCCCCCCCGTCTGTCACACTGTACGGCGCGCTCCCCCGTCTCTGTCACACTGTACGGCGCGCTCCCCCGTCTGTCACACTGTACGGCGCGCTCCCCCGTCTGTCACACTGTACGGCGCGCTCCCCCGTCTCTGTCACACTGTACGGCGCGCTCCCCCGTCTGTCACACTGCACGGTGCGCTCCCCCGTCTGTCACATTGCACGGCGCGCTCCCCCGTCTGTCACACTGTACGGTGCGCTCCCCCGTCTGTCACACTGTACGGTGCGCTCCCCCGTCTGTCACACTGTACGGTGCGCTCCCCCGTCTGTCACATTGTACGGTGCGCTCCCCCGTCTGTCACACTGTACGGTGCGCTCCCCCGTCTGTCACACTGTACGGCGCGCTCCCCCGTCTGTCACACTGTACGGCGCGCTCCCCCGTCTGTCACACTGTACGGCGCGCTCCCCCGTCTGTCACACTGTACGGTGCGCTCCCCCGTCTGTCACACTGTATGGTGCGCTCCCCCGTCTGTCACACTGTATGGTGCGCTCCCCCGTCTGTCACACTGTATGGCGGTGCGCTCCCCCGTCTGTCACACTGTATGGTGCGCTCCCCCGTCTGTCACACTGTATGGTGCGCTCCCCCGTCTGTCACACTGTATGGTGCGCTCCCCCGTCTGTCACACTGTATGGTGCGCTCCCCCGTCTGTCACACTGTACGGCGCGCTCACATGTCCCTCGCATCATCTTGCATATATAAGCTCACTTCCTCATTCCAATAAAGCAGAAGTTTCACAGACTGAACGAGTGTCAGAGTGAATTGTTCAGATGCGGCGTCCCACATGAATGATTAGGACAGGAGCAGATAATCATCGGACACTTGATCCACCAAAACACAGGTATCTTCTTATCACCTGGAAGAGTGGAGGGCACCAGATAAGGAGGTAAGGAACTGCTCTGTGCAAATAACTTCTCATTTTTACCCCCCCCCCATCATTTAGTATGAGTTTAGTCACAGACAAGACACCAAATCCATTTTATAGTTTATTAGAAACCGACATGACAAAAGTTAACTGGACATAGGAATAGACTATGTAAAGAGAAGGCGGGGGAGGGGCCATCACCATACCTTGTGCAAACACTGCCGTCTGGAAGCCCAAACGCTCGCTACGTCTACCTACAGGAGCCCAAGTCTTCACATGTGTGTGGGACCTCGCTCGCCAGGACACCAAGCAAATCTCGAGGATTTCTACCATGAAGCAAAGTCTGAGATAGGCGGCCTTCCGATCACACAAAGGCGGGGGCGCTCCTTCCGATCACAGAAAGGGCGGGGCGCTCCTTCCGGTCACACAAAGGGCGGGGCGCTCCTTCCGGTCACACAAAGGGCGGGGCGCTCCTTCCGGTCACACAAAGGGCGGGGCGGGGCGGGGCGGGGGAGCCACACAAGTCATTAAATAGCATCACAAGGAACGTTACACCTTTACCGGCTGGCTCTATGTACATCCGCAAAGAATGGAAAACAATAGAAAAGGTGGTGGGGGAGGGGAATACCTGGACTTCCAGCAGCATCGATGGCTTGGTATAAATAAAGACTATGAAATGCAGCAAGAAAAGCATCCTCCGCCGTCCAATAGCAGTGCTCTGTGTGTGTGGGGGGGGGGGTCATGATTAGAAGGGAGGATGGCGGGACACCAGGACTGCCTGAGGAAAGCCCAGCACCTCTCAGCCGCCGTGTACAGTGGTTCCACGCAGAGCAAGGGACAGGCCACCGAAAAGCAGGATCCAGCTGGGGGGCCCCAATGGCTTCTCCTATGTCCTGGAGATCTCCTTCCCTTAGTTCCCTCCCACCTCAGGGTAGTCTCATCCCTCCTGCTGCATACTCCATAATATACAACTCATTCCACAGGGGGAGGGCTGCGGCAGGACCGCCGATCCCTGAGACACAACTAAGGTGGATTCCACGCTCCAGCTTGACGAGGCGGAGATGTCGGTTTGGGGTGGAGCGAACTCCTATTATAAAAGAAGAGACCGAGCCGCAGAAGCAGCCGTGTCACAAAACGCCCGCTGCCTTCCATAAATACATCCAACGGGGCCAAACTCAATTCATGGGCCCCGCAAAGCAAACCGATTCAGATAAATTCATGGCGGTACTTAAAAATCCTGTTTGTCATTATGAAAAGTCTAAAAATAACAGTCAGTTCTGGAAGCAACAACACAAGTTGTCTGGGGGGGGGAGGGGAGGAGGGGGGAGGGGTGCATCTACTGAGACAGGAGTAGTGCCGGCGCAGTGGGCGGGTAAGAAGGCGTCCAGATTTGGATGGAGATTGTGTATTGCTGTGCAGGGGCCCTTACACGAGGATCTGAGTCTTGCCTGGCCTCCTGGGGTGGAAGCTCCATTCAGCCACAGTTCAGTCCACACCGGGAGTCCCGCCCCTACAGGCGCTGCTTCTTGCTCTGTTTCGGGACCCCTGACGCGCTCTCGTCGTTTTCTAAAGCTCTCTCTCTGCCATTGGTCTCAGTGAAGCCATTGGTGGGCGGGTGCAGCTCTTCGGCACACTCCTCGGGGGCGGAGGGTGGGGACTCGCCCCTCTCCAGCTTGTACTGCATGTCTCGCAGTTTGGACACGGCTTTGTCTATGGTGGATATGTTGATGAGGTTGAAGTCGTGCATACTGACCAGGTGCAGCATGAAGTTACGGCACAGATTCTTCTCAATGATCTTCTGCCCATAGTTTGCCACAAACAGCATGCAGGCGTGATTCATCTGATTGTCAGCAATGAACCTGCAAGGAACAAGATGGAGTCAGTCCTGGAGGAGGAGCATATCACCCCACCCATGTCATGAAGACACACCCACCTAACCACACACCCCAACACTGCTGACAGATGGCTGGAGCCCGTCAGACCCACCATGACACAATCAGACCAATGCCACACGCTCCAGACCATGCTTACCCGTGCTTCATGACGTGCAGGTTCCACATCTTCATCACTTCCTTCTCCCCCTCATTGACGTCAGAGAATTCCTCAATTTGCTGCAAAGGACACAACTTGTGATGTATACATGTGTAGAACATACATGAGCACTGTGCTCCGAGATCACTTCTAATGACCAATGATGACTGGCAGGGAGAGGGATCCCAGGCAGAACACACAGCAGGTAGTACAGGGACCACCCAGCGACCGGACCACCCAGCGACCGGACCACCAGCGACCGGACCACCCAGCGACCGGACCACCCAGCGACCAGACCACCCAGCGACCAGACCACCCAGCGACCAGACCACCCAGCGACCAGACCACCCAGCGACCAGACCACCCAGCGACCAGACCACCCAGCGACCAGACGACCGACCAGACCACCCAGCGACCAGACACCCAGCGACCGGACCACCCAGCGACAACCCAGCGACCGGACCACCCAGCGACAACAACCCAGCGACCGGACAACCCAGCGACTGGACAACCCTTCTCTACAAATTCAAAAACTAGCTTAGAAAAAGAATTCCTTGAGCTGAAACATTGCTGCAGAAAGTGCCGGCCAATCAGAGGGCAGGTACATGGGCCTACGAGGGGCCGGCGCCGCCTACACCGGGTACCCGGCCCTACGAGGGGCCGGCGCCTCCTGCACCGGGTGCACGGCCCTACGAGGGGCCGGCGCCTCCTGCACGGCCCTACGAGGGGCCGGCGCCTCCTGCACGGCCCTACGAGGGGCCGGCGCCTCCTGCACGGCCCTACGAGGGGCCGGCGCCTCCTGCACGGCCCTACGAGGGGCCGGCGCCTCCTGCACGGCCCTACGAGGGGCGGCGCCTCCTGCACCGGGTGCACGGCCCTACGAGGGGCCGGCGCCTCCTGCACGGCCCTACGAGGGGCCGGCGCCTCCTGCACGGCCCTACGAGGGGCCGGCGCCTCCTGCACGGCCCTACGAGGGGCCGGCGCCTCCTGCACGGCCCTACGAGGGGCCGGCGCCTCCTGCACGGCCCTACGAGGGGCCGGCGCCTCCTGCACGGCCCTACGAGGGGGGCGGGCCTCCTGCACGGCCCTACGAGGGGCCGGCGCCTCCTGCACGGCCCTACGAGGGGCCGGCGCCTCCTGCACGGCCCCACGAGGGGCCGGCGCCTCCTGCACCGGGTGCACGGCCCTACGAGGGGCCGGCGCCTCCTGCACCTGGTGCATTGCATTGTTGTAATCAGGCCCAGGAAAATCTTTCCAGAACCCAGGCCCAAATTCAGCTCTGACCTGACAGATGGCGTTCTCATCCCCCCAGCTGCCATATAAACATTTTTCACCCGTACCAAGCGACTGCTGAGATTGGTCGCTGTGACCTCACAAAATTCATCTTTAAACGTTTTAGCAAGTCTGGTCAGTTTTTATTGATCACGGTACAAATCACAAAAGCAGCCGACGTGATTTGAGGGTGTCAGTCCTCCTACATCAGGGCCAGTTCTGCAGCCTGTGAAGCCCTGATCAAAGGGGACCTTCTGAACCCCCAAAACATGTCCGCTGCTTCTGTGACACAAACAATAACTGGACTAAAACATCTCTGTTGCTCTCATCTACTGACCGCCCTTCAGCATCAAGTCCTATGCTGGTCTTACGGACAAGGAGCTGCCCTCGTTGAGGGTCCAAGAAGTAGTTGTTGAATTCGGGTTCAGCACGCCACCAATATGTCGATCCTTCCTGACTTAGGCCTCTTTCACACGGGCCATCCAATCAGGTCCATCTGTCAGTTTTTCAGGCAGACGTGATCAGATGGTCTGTGTTTCTCTATGGAGAAAGTGTGGGGGGATAAGGGGATCCGTCCCTCTCAGTCTAGGCAGATGGGAGGACAATCAGGTGTAAACAGACAGCGGAGTCCATTCCCACCCGATCAGCCATACAGCAGGGAGCTCAGTCCATGTCCACTCTGCTGAGCCTCCTCTGTGGGCCCCTGCTGATCCAGAGTCCTCCTGGTGTGAGAGGGCCCTCAGAGGAGGACGATTGTCCAGTGTCCTGTATTCTGTGAATTATGATCTCGGTACCATCCTGTACAGCTGCAATGTTTGTGTACAAGTCCCCTCCAATCCCGACATGTGCTGTCCCTGAACTCCCCGCCTGGCCGCAGACATCGTCAGGCACCCGGCTTCCAGATCTTGGGTCCAGAACGTTTGCCACAGTCATTGGCCGGGCAGCGATGACATGTGTGGGAGTTCACCCAAGTTCAGCATTGCCGAATTTATACAGCGAGCTGCGCCTGCGCCTATATAGGGGTGGACAGGCAGGTAGGTAGTTTGAATGCAACAAAGACAAAGCATTTCTTTTCTGCATTCAAAGTCCTGCCTGTCCACCTTTAATGTTTCCCAACGTTCCACTTTCAGTGACACCATTAGAACACGGACTTACAGTGATGGTTTTCTCCCTCAGCCACTCGGGGTCCTTCTCATCCTCGCTGTCCACCTCCATCTCCTGGGGTCGGAGAGGAAGGCAGGTGTCACTGTGGAAGTACAGTCTGTTATGGCCGCTGCTGTATGTCCTCTGCTGCTCCACCTCTCCGTCCTCAGACTCATAGAACTCCGACATGCTGGCTTTGGTGCGCTTCGGCCTGGTAATGGGTGAGACATTGGGTTAGGAGACACTAGAGTCAGGACAAAGCCACTGTGAGAAGTCCTCCAGGTCATACATGGATCTCCTCCATAAAAGCACACGTGAATGAAGAGGATGTTTAGAGCCCCCCTCCGGGCCAGGATTACCCCACCACCTTCATAGAAGGCCCAAGATGATCTGTGACCTACCTGCACACAAGGATGTGAGTTATGGGGGTCCTCTTCACGGGACCATTCCGACTGAAAGCAAATCCCGGCTGGCGATGAATGTCCTGAGGGTTCCCAGCATACGATCCATCATAGCACTCATTGATGGAGACATCGATCCGAGCACCTTTGGGGTGATACTGTGCGAAGAATATGGACAATGAACTTTCAGATGATTATCAACACGTCGGGGGAATTAAAGGACAAGTTCAACTTTACAAAAAAAAAAATTAAAAAGTTTTTTTTTTTTCCCCAGGTAATAAATGTGAATGTATGATTTTCTTTGTAAGGAGCCTGGAAAGCATTGCACCCATGATCAGCTGATGGCGAGTGTACGGCCACCGTCCTGCCAACTGTCTGCCTGTACCTCCGCAGGTAGTTCCACAATGACAGCACGCTCACTGAACTACCTACAGCGCTCAACAGCTCATTCATTGAGAACCACAAGCTGACAGCCGCAAAGGCTGCTGGTAGATTTCACAGAACCCTGCAGAGCCGCAAAGGCTGCTGGTAGATTTCACAGAACCCTGCAGAGCCGCAAAGGCTGCTGGTAGATTTCACAGAACCCTGCAGAGCCGCAAAGGCTGCTGGTAGTTTTCATTCACAGAACCCAGCAGAGTCGCAAAGGCTGCTGGTAGTTTTCATTCATTCACAGAACCCTGCAGAGTCGCAAAGGCTGCTGGTAGTTTTTCATTCACAGAACCCTGCAGAGTCGCAAAGGCTGCTCGTAGTTTTCATTCACAGAACCCTGCAGAGCCGCAAAGGCTGCTGGTAGTTTTCATTCACAGAACCCTGCAGAGCCGCAAAGGCTGCTGGTAGTTTTCATTCACAGAACCCTACAGAGCCGTGTTTTTTTTAAACTGACAGTGAGTGGGGGAGAAGATCCCCCACCCAGCTTGCTGATGAGGACTGGGGGGGTTACAGAGGCTGGTGTATACACAACACACTACACCCTGAATATGGGGGTCCAGAGGCTGGTGTATACACAACACACTACACCCTGAATATGGGGGTACAGAGGCTGGTGTATACACAACACACTACACCCCTGAATATGGGGGTACAGAGGCTGGTGTATACACAACACACTACACCCTGAATATGGGGGTACAGAGGCTGGTGTACACACAACACAGTACACCCTGAATATGGGGGTCCAGAGGCTGGTGTATACACTACACACTACCCTGAATATGGGGGTACAGAGGCTGGTGTACACACAACACAGTACACCCTGAATATGGGGGTCCAGAGGCTGGTGTATACACAACACACTACACCCTGAATATGGGGGTCCAGAGGCTGGTGTATACACACTACACCCGGAATATGGGGGTACAGAGGCTGGTGTATACACAACACACTACACCCTGAATATGGGGGTACAGAGGCTGGTGTATACACAACACACTACACCCGAATATGGGGGTACAGAGGCTGGTGTATACACAACACACACCCTGGAATATGGGGGTACAGAGGCTGGTGTATACACACACACACTACACCCTGAATATGGGGGTTACAGAGGCTGGTGTATACACTACACCCTGAATATGGGGGTACAGAGGCTGGTGTATACACAACACACTACACCCTGAATATGGGGGTACAGAGGCTGGTGTATACACAACACACTACACCCGAATATGGGGGTACAGAGGCTGGTGTATACACAACACACTACACCCTGAATATGGGGGTACAGAGGCTGGTGTATACACAACACACTACACCCTGAATATGGGGGTACAGAGGCTGGTGTATACACAACACACTACACCCCTGAATATGGGGGTACAGAGGCTGGTGTATACACAACACACTACACCCGGAATATGGGGGTACAGAGGCTGGTGTATACACAACACACTACACCCCTGAATATGGGGGTACAGAGGCTGGTGTATACACAACACACTACACCCTGAATATGGGGGTACAGAGGCTGGTGTATACACTACACCCTGAATATGGGGGTACAGAGGCTGGTGTATACACTACACCCTGAATATGGGGTTACAGAGGCTGGTGTATACACAACACACTACACCCTGAATATGGGGGTACAGAGGCTTGTGTATACACACACCCTGAATATGGGGGTACAGAGGCACATACACTACACCCTGAATATGGGGGTACAGAGGCTGGTGTATACACAACACACTACACCCGGAATATGGGGGTACAGAGGCTGGTGTATACACAACACACTACACCTGGAATATGGGGGTACAGAGGCTTGTGTATACACAACACACTACACCCTGAATATGGGGGTACAGAGGCTGGTGTATACACAACACACTACACCCTGAATATGGGGGTACAGAGGCTGGTGTATACACAACACACTACACCCGGAATATGGTGAACTCATCCTGGGCGAGGTTTGCCTGCACCCCTCTTCTGCAGTATGGAGATGAAGCCAATGGAAGGGGCGATCTGCTCCATGTTCTATATGGCCTCTGGGACCACCATGGCAGAACAAGTCACATGTATGCTCTGATCCCTCAGCCAGGAGGTTGGTAACCATGCAGGCTCTGCACGTGTGATGTCATCACTGCACGGGCAGATGGGAGGATGTGAGTGGACTGCTAACAATTCAAACCCTGTATGTCAGGTCCTACCTGGAGGGGACCCATCGGAGTGTTCTTTTTATTGTTATTATTATATCTTTTATGAAGTATTTTTTCCCCCAATACTTAACACAACACTTTCATAGCTCTCAAAAAAGGAATACAAACCATTCCCCTGCATTATCCCACCCTAACCCCCTCCCCCGGGTCCCCTCCCACCCACCAATTTCCCCGGTCCATATAGTTCTGTCTAACACTTTCTGTGGGAGTTTTCCGTGTTGAAAATGGCCCCATTCTCCACAAGCCGCACCAGTTCTTTATGACTGACATAGGTCCTGGCACGGGCCGGTTGTATGAATGTATCCCCGCCACTCATGACGGTTTCCTCTCCCATTATAAAGCTTAGATAGATCCCCAAAGTGAACTGCTCAGCAGAAGGTTCTAGAGGCGCCCCGGTGACCACCATGACTGCCCATGCCAGGCTCTGACATTTCTCATCCACCCTGAGCCCATCCTCAGGACTACAGACATATGGGGGGTCAGTAAACGTACCACATAATTGAAGATGAAGCGGCTGTGACATAGTTTGAGGTGTTTCAGTAAACTGTAGAGTTTGCGACAATTAAGCGTGCACCATGGACAATGCAGGTCATCTCTGGCCTCCGTCTGCTGCCGGGTGTTGTTGTTGTATAAAAACTGGAAGACAAAACACAAGAACTAGGACCTTACAGTACACGGCACTGGCTGTATGTACCCCCAAAACTACCAGGGACCCTATAGGAAGTAATCCCCGGGTGTATGTACACCGAAACTACCAGGAACCCTATAGGAGTAGTGATCCCCGGGTGTATGTACCCCGAAACTACCAGGGACCTATAGTAGTGATCCCCGGCTGTATGTACACCGAAACTACCAGGGACCCTATAGTAGTGATCCCCAGGTGTATGTACCCCGAAACTACCAGGGACCCTATAGGAATAATCCCCGGGTGTATGTACACCGAAACTACCAGGGACCCTATAGGAGTAGTAATCCCCGGGTGTATGTACACCGAAACTACCAGGGACCCTATAGGAGTAGTGATCCCCGGGTGTATGTACCACCGAAACTACCAGGGACCCTATAGTAGTGATCCCCGGGTGTATGTACCCCCGAAACTACCAGGAACCCTATAGGAGTAGTAATCCCGGTGTATGTACACCGAAACTACCAGGGACCCTATAGGAGTAGTAATCCTCGGGTGTATACACCGAAACTACCAGGGACCCTATAGTAGTAATCCCCGGGTGTATGTACCGGCCCCAAAACTACCAGGACCCTATAGTAGTGATCCCCGGGTGTATGTACAGAAACTACCAGGGACCCTATAGGAGTAGTAATCCCCGGTGTATGTACAGGAGTAGTAGTCCCCGGGTGTATGTACAGGAGTAGTAGTCCCCGGGTGTATGTACAGGAGTAGTAGTCCCCGGGTGTATGTACAGGAGTAGTAGTCCCCGGGTGTATGTACAGGAGTAGTAGTCCCCGGGTGTATGTACAGGAGTAGTAGTCCCCGGGTGTATGTACAGGAGTAGTAGTCCCCGGGTGTATGTACAGGAGTAGTAGTCCCCGGGTGTATGTACAGGAGTAGTAGTCCCCGGGTGTATGTACAGGAGTAGTAGTCCCCGGGTGTATGTACAGGAGTAGTAGTCCCCGGGTGTATGTACAGGAGTAGTAGTCCCCGGGTGTATGTACAGGAGTAGTAGTCCCCGGGTGTATGTACAGGAGTAGTAGTCCCCGGGTGTATGTACAGGAGTAGTAGTCCCCGGGTGTATGTACAGGAGTAGTAGTCCCCGGATGTATGTACAGGAGTAGTAGTCCCCGGATGTATGTACAGGAGTAGTAGTCCCCGGGTGTATGTACAGGAGTAGTAGTCCCCGGGTGTATGTACAGGAGTAGTAGTCCCCGGGTGTATGTACAGGAGTAGTAGTCCCCGGGTGTATGTACAGGAGTAGTAGTCCCCGGGTGTATGTACAGGAGTAGTAGTCCCCGGGTGTATGTACAGGAGTAGTAGTCCCCCGGGGTGTATGTACAGGAGTAGTAGTCCCCGGGTGTATGTACAGGAGTAGTAGTCCCCGGGTGTATGTACAGGAGTAGTAGTCCCCGGGTGTATGTACAGGAGTAGTAGTCCCCGGGTGTATGTACAGGAGTAGTAGTCCCCGTAGTACCTGGTAAAATATGCGCAGCTTCTGGCGAGGCTCGGTGGAGACATCCTTCTCTCTCTTTGATGGAAGATCGGAGGACACAGACTCCTTCACTGCTGGAAATGACAAAGTCTGATTGAGTGGCTAGTATTGGCCCATAAGAGGCTAACAGATTACATGCAGCGGTGATCACATGACCTATCAATACTCTCCATCCAAACCCCGCCTTTTATAAAGCATGTCTATAACAAAGATATTCCAGAGAGGAGAACACCATTGTGCACGAGTTACCGTGTCCTGGCCAATCAGAGGAGAGCAGTCAGTCTGGAAAGGGTGGCCCTCTTGGCTCTCATCTGTCAGACTCCACTGAAGGCAGCCCTGACCAAGTCCCAGGGACTTCCGGAACCTCTGTACAGGCAACCATGTCCTCTCTCCAAGAGGATTCCCTGTCCTGTGGAAGGACCACGAAGACCCACCACGGTGACAGATGTCTGAGGATCCGAAACAAAGCTCTGTGCTGACAGGAGGTCCATCATACCTCCCATAACAAAGCTCTGTGCTGACAGGAGGTCCATCATACCTCCCATAACAAAGCTCTGTGCCAACAGGAGGTCCATCATACCTCCCATAACAAAGCTCTGTGCTGACAGGAGGTCCATCATACCTCCCATAACAAAGCTCTGTGCTGACAGGAGGTCCATCATACCTCCCATAACAAAGCTCTGTGCTGACAGGAGGTCCATCATACCTCCCATAACAAAGCTCTGTGCTGACAGGAGGTCCATCATACCTCCCATAACAAAGCTCTGTGCTGACAGGAGGTCCATCATACCTCCCATAACAAAGCTCTGTGCTGACAGGAGGTCCATCATACCTCTAATCCTACAGCCAGCATACTCCGCTTCACAAGGGGGAGAGCGGGGGACCCCAAAACAAAACCCTTCAAATCAATCATGAAGTGCTCCATCTTCCAGATGGCTCTGTCATCAGACCATGGCCAGGGAAAAAGGACAGAGCCATCCTGAGCCATACTACACTGGTACCATATAGATATACTCACCCCTCACTCTGCTCTCACCTACACACCACATCCCAATGTGTTCTATATGGACAGAGCCATCCGTATACTACACTGGTACCATATATAGATATACTCACCCCTCACTCTGCTCTCACCTACACACCACATCCCAATGTGTTCTATATGGACAGAGCCATCCGTATACTACACTGGTACCATATAGATATCACCTCACCCCTCACCTACCATCACCACATGCTCTCACCTATAGTCTGTGCAGGTTTGACAGCTGCCGGCCTGTGTTCCTGGGGGACACTTTCGGAGTTGCGTGTTGCGAGAGGCTTGGCGATGGGCGCGGTGGATTTATCCGGCGTGTCACTTGTCCATCGCAGGGTAAAATGTAAGGTTGGACCCTGAGAAAAGGTCTCAAAGGGAGGCAGGCGCTGAAAAGGACATTGAATGATTGGAGAATCGTCAGTTTATGGAGGGGAGGTGAATGGAACACAGCAGATGAAATGGACATTTCTCAGACTCTCTGCCCATCAGATCATTAATCCCGGTTCTACCTACCTTGCCGTCCAGGATGGTCTCCCATGTGGCCCTCTTCTTATTGACCGGACAATCCTCCATCTCCTGCATGGCCACTTCATATTCACCGTCCAGTAGCTGGAGACGCCTGGAACCAGGAGAATAGAGTCACGGCTGGCTGAGGCCACCAATATGGGGACATGACAGATTGCCTTCTCACCTGTTCTTGTCAAACACCGTCATCTGGGCCACAAACGTCTTGTCGTCGTCCCGGTTAGAGGCGTTGCGTTTCCGCCTGGTCGGAGGGTCCTCTGTGACATCTCATGTTAGAACAAAAGGGGCAAAGTCAGCAGATGTACCAACAGAGCTACATTCCATCTGGAAGATCCACACAGATCTACCACCACATGGAGTACGCACCCCGCGGGCAGTGAGCGCACCCCTGTACCAGCATGAGAGGCACCAGGCAATGGCACGGGACTCACAGCGGATGAAACAGTGAGCAGGCAGGCTATCATGCAGAAGAGAGGGGCAACGCGCGCTCCCCGGGGGCAGACAGGCTACGCGCGCTCCCCGGGGGCAGACAGGCTACGCGCGCTCCCCGGGGCCAGACAGGCAAATCCGCGCATCCCCGGGGCCAGACAGGCTACGCGCGCTCCCCGGGGCCAGAACAGGCTACGCGCGCTCCCCGGGGCCAGACAGGCTACGCGCGCTCCCCGGGGCCAGACAGGCTACGCGCGCTCCCCGGGGCCAGACAGGCTACGCGCGCTCCCCGGGGCCAGACAGGCTACGCGCGCTCCCCGGGGCCAGACAGGCTACGCGCGCATCCCCGGGGCCAGACAGGCTACGCGCGCTCCCCGGGGCCAGACAGGCTACGCGCGCTCCCCGGGGCCAGACAGGCTACGCGCGCGCTCCCCGGGGCCAGACAGGCTACGCGCGCTCCCCGGGGCCAGACAGGCTACCGCGCGCGCTCCCCATGGGGCCAGACAATGGCTACGCGCGCTCCCCGGGGCCAGACAGGCTACGCGCGCTCCCCGGGGCCAGACAGGGGGCTACGCGCGCTCCCCGGGGCCAGACAGGCTACGCGCGCTCCCCGGGGCCAGACAGGCTACGCGCGCTCCCCGGGGCCAGACAGGCTACGCGCGCTCCCCGGGGCCAGACAGGCTACGCGCGCTCCCCGGGGCCAGACAGGCTAAACGCGCGCTCCCCGGGGCCAGACAGGCAACGCGCGCTCCCCGGGGGCAGACAGGCAACGCGCGCTCCCCGGGGGCAGACAGGCAACGCGCGCTCCCCGGGGGCAGACAGGCAACGCGCGCTCCCCGGGGGCAGACAGGCAACGCGCGCTCCCCGGGGGCAGACAGGCTACGCGCGCTCCCCGGGGGCAGACAGGCAACGCGCGCTCCCCGGGGGCAGACAGGCTACGCGCGCTCCCCGGGGGCAGACAGGCTACGCGCGCTCCCCGGGGGCAGACAGGCTACGCGCGCTCCCCGGGGGCAGACAGGCTACGCGCGCTCCCCGGGGGCAGACAGGCTACGCGCGCTCCCCGGGGGCAGACAGGCTACGCGCGCGCTCCCCGGGGGCAGACAGGCTACGCGCGCTCCCCGGGGGCAGACAGGCTACGCGCGCTCCCCGGGGGCAGACAGGCTAACGCGCGCTCCCCGGGGGCAGACAGGCTACGCGCGCTCCCCGGGGGCAGACAGGCTACGCGCGCTCCCCGGGGGCAGACAGGCTAACGCGCGCTCCCCGGGGGCAGACAGGCAACGCGCGCTCCCCGGGGGCAGACAGGCTACGCGCGCTCCCCGGGGGCAGACAGGCTACGCGCGCTCCCCGGGGCCGACAGGCAACGCGCGCTCCCCGGGGCCGACAGGCAACGCGCGCTCCCCTTTTCTATCACAATGGGAATATACATCTTGTGCAGTTTTCTGCACCCATGATGGTAACAAAACAAAAAGCACTTGCGGTACGCAGGTTCTGGAAGCGGATTGGCTCCGGCCATACACACCTATGTTCTCATTGGTCTCTCCGTTTGACAAGCCGTTGTAGTCGCGGTGACCCTGCCGGGTGACTCGGAAGAGCAGAGAATAGGATTTCACCATGTGGCTGTTGCTGGGTTCAAACTCGTTGCTGGACATGGCCAGCGAGGGGAAGCTGACGGGTTTCGAAGAGCTGAGGTCAGGATTTAAAGGCACCTGTTTCTTCCCGGTGGGGACCTGTCTGATAGGGCAGCTCACATCCTGAGGAGTAACAGAGACACGAGTCACTCTTCATCGGGGCCGGGTTGTCATACAAAAGACGTGACATCACACAGCCGTGGACGGACTTACCTTGCGCTTTTTGTGGCAGACTTTGACCAGGAGGACCTCCAGTGTGACGGAGCTTTGTTCATTCTCAGAGTTCTGAGTGGGTTTATCTGAAACACAACCTTCATGTATTAGTCATTGAGCAGAACCCCCAGAATGTGTCCGGTGACCCCCCCCACACCATACATACCACTCTTATGGAAGAAGCCGGTGAACGTTAGCTGCAGGTGAGCTGAAAGACTGAACAAAAAAGGGTAAAAAAAAGAGAAAAATCAGAACTTTGCCACATCTGTCATAGAGGGAAACAAACTACAACTCCCAACATCCCCAATAGGACTAGAAAACACTGTAACCAAGACCCCCCCCCCTCCCCCATCATCAATAATCAACTGACTGACCAGTAAGAGCAGCACAATGCTGAGACCATCCCTGCGATCTCTACTCCTGCCAGCGAGCTTCCAATACAAGACTGGTCACCATGTATAGTATTGGGTGGGCCGTACTTCTCAGACAATATGAATGCTTAGTGGTTGTAAAGGCTCAAAATGTTTTACCTTCATGAGATCTACACATGAAGGACAAAATCTTCTGTGTGCAGCCCTCCCCCCACCCCCCGAGTTCCCCATAATTCTTACCTGAGCCCCATCATGATCCAGCAATGTACATGACAACCTCAGCTGTCCCGGATCTCCACCTCCTCATTTACTGGGACAGCACCAGAGCCATTGGCACCCAATGCTGTCAATCACAGCCAGTGAGCCAATGATGACACGGGGCGGGGCTGAGACACAGCTCTGTGTGTGAAGGGACAGCTTGCTGTGGGGTCACCTGACAGGAAGAAGGAGCCATAAGTGCTGGTGCAGAACACAGGAGGATCCGGGCTGCTGTGTGCAAATCCACAATCAGAAGACGTGACTGGATGAGGGGGGGTGAGATCTAGAAGAGCTTTCAGACTGATCTCTGAGGGGAGCCCCTATAGCAAATCATCTGTAAATAATCTCCCACTGTGTCTACACTTCCTTGTGGCAGCTGGGTCAGCACTGTGGTGTCACTGGTAACCCATTATGTGCCAAAGCTACATACCTTGGCAGCACCCTATCCCGCACAGTGACAGTTGACATTGAGGTCACCTGCAGAATTTCCAAGGCAAGCTCTGCATTTGGCAGACTACTGACCAATGTGTGGGACCGCCGTGGAATATGCCTTGCCACAAAGATCAAAGTCTACCGAGCTGTAGAGCCAACTACCCTGATGTATGCCAGTGAGACGTGGACAGGAGGCATGCTAGGCAATGGAACCACTTCCACAAGACCTGCCTCCGCAGACTTCTGAGGATCTGTAGGCAGGACAAGGTACCAGACACAGAAGTCCTCTCCAGGGCAGGCCTGCCATCAGTTCACACCCCGCTGATGAAGTCCCAGACACAGAAGTCCTCTCCAGAGCAGGCCTGCCATCAGTTCACACCCCGCTGATGAAGTCCAGACCCAGAACTCCTCTCCAGAGCAGGCCTGCCATCAGTTCACACCCCGCTGATGAAGTCCAGACCCAGAAGTCCTCTCCAGGGCAGGCCTGCCATCAGTTCACACCCCGCTGATGAAGTCCCAGACCCAGAAGTCCTCTCCAGAGCAGGCCTGCCATCAGTTCACACCCCGCTGATGAAGTCCCAGACACAGAAGTCCTCTCCAGGGCAGGCCTGCCATCAGTTCACACCCCGCTGATGAAGTCCCAGACCCAGAAGTCCTCTCCAGAGCAGGCCTGCCATCAGTTCACACCCCGCTGATGAAGTCCCAGACACAGAAGTCCTCTCCAGGGCAGGCCTGCCATCAGTTCACACCCCGCTGATGAAGTCCCAGACACAGAAGACCTCTCCAGGGCAGGCCTGCCATCAGTTCACACCCCGCTGATGAAGTCCAGACCCAGAAGTCCTCTCCAGGGCAGGCCTGCCATCAGTTCACACCCCGCTGATGAAGTCCCAGACACAGAAGACCTCTCCAGAGCAGGCCTGCCATCAGTTCACACCCCGCTGATGAAGTCCCAGACACAGAAGTCCTCTCCAGAGCAGGCCTGCCATCAGTTCACACCCCGCTGATGAAGTCCCAGACACAGAACTCCTCTCCAGAGCAGGCCTGCCATCAGTTCACACCCCCGCTGATGAAGTCCCAGACACAGAACTCCTCTCCAGAGCAGGCCTGCCATCAGTTCACACCCCGCTGATGAAGTCCCAGACACAGAAGTCCTCTCCAGAGCAGGCCTGCCATCAGTTCACACCCCGCTGATGAAGTCCCAGACACAGAAGACCTCTCCAGAGCAGGCCTGCCATCAGTTCACACCCCGCTGATGAAGTCCCAGACACAGAAGACCTCTCCAGAGCAGGCCTGCCATCAGTTCACACCCCGCTGATGAAGTCCCAGACCCAGAAGTCCTCTCCAGAGCAGGCCTGCCATCAGTTCACACCCCGCTGATGAAGTCCCAGACACAGAAGTCCTCTCCAGAGCAGGCCTGCCATCAGTTCACACCCCCGCTGATGAAGTCCCAGACACAGAAGTCCTCTCCAGGGCAGGCCTGCCATCAGTTCACACCCCGCTGATGAAGTCCCAGACCCAGAAGTCCTCTCCAGGGCAGGCCTGCCATCAGTTCACACCCCGCTGATGAAGTCCCAGACACAGAAGACCTCTCCAGAGCAGGCCTGCCATCAGTTCACACCCCGCTGATGAAGTCCCAGACCCAGAAGTCCTCTCCAGGGCAGGCCTGCCATCAGTTCACACCCCGCTGATGAAGTCCCAGACACAGAAAACCTCTCCAGAGCAGGCCTGCCATCAGTTCACACCCCGCTGATGAAGTCCCAGACCCAGAAGTCCTCTCCAGAGCAGGCCTGCCATCAGTTCACACCCCGCTGATGAAGTCCCAGACACAGAAGTCCTCTCCAGGCAGGCCTGCCATCAGTTCACACCCCGCTGATGAAGTCCCAGACACAGAAGACCTCTCCAGAGCAGGCCTGCCATCAGTTCACACCCCGCTGATGAAGTCCCAGACACAGAAGTCCTCTCCAGAGCAGGCCTGCCATCAGTTCACACCCCGCTGATGAAGTCCCAGACACAGAAGTCCTCTCCAGGGCAGGCCTGCCATCAGTTCACACCCCGCTGATGAAGTCCCAGACACAGAAGACCTCTCCAGAGCAGGCCTGCCATCAGTTCACACCCTGCTGATGAAGTCCCAGACACAGAAGTCCTCTCCAGAGCAGGCCTGCCATCAGTTCACACCCCCTGATGAAAGCCCAGACACGCTGGGCAGGCCATGGTGCAAGGATGCCAGACCACCTCATCCCTAAACAGCTCCTCTATGGTGAAAGCGATCACACGGGGGGGACAAATGAAGCAAAACAAAGACACACTGAAAGCCTCCTTCAAGTCTCTGGATTTTGACATCACCTTGTAAACCCTGGCACAAGATCGATCGATATAGAAGGGAGCACTTTGCAAAGCCAGAGCTGCAAATGCTGCAACCGTGGTGCCCCCATATGTCTGCCTGACATGTGGCAGAACATTTTGTGCCCATATAGGCCTTACCAGCCACCTACGGACACACCGTGGACAGTCTACTACCTGCTAGATGTCAAGGTCCTTGAACACAATGGACAATCATCATTATGTGAGGGGGGATGCCATTTCCCATCATCCTCAGGGAGGTCGGGCACATTTCTCTCTGCTAGTCCCACAATAAACGTGGTTGCTGCAGGACACCAGTGAACAGGATATATGGGACTATTCATTCCTAGGCCACATTCATAGTCCAAGACCTCCAGCTGACACGGCCATCACCCTCCACACACTTACCTGTCTATCTCATGGTCTCCTTTCATTTTCTCCACCTTCAGCAGCAATTCATCAATCTTAAACGTTTTCCTGAAATCAAAAATTAAAAATGTCAAAGAATAAGCCAGCAGAACATTTATTCTTAACCAGAATCCCGCCATGAATAGGTCCTTCCCTCCATCAGGTGAATGCCGAGGTCACAAGGACCAAGCAGAGAAACCCAAGAAGCCAAAAACATCAAATCAGGGTGAAAGACGGGACAGCAGCTGCCGAGATCTGTCCACCTGGCAGTACTAGGCTCGTTGGTTCAATTCCCAACCACAGCACCACCTGCCTGGAGTTTGCACACTGCTACGTAAACTGACAGCGCTATGCAGGTACCTGTAAATAAAGACCACCTGTGGTCTTGCAGGGGATCTTATGTCTGGTCTTGTAAGGATCTATGTCCTCATCCTCTGCGTGTGGTCTCCCAGACCTCTCCCCCACGTCCCGCCTGCGGTCTCCCAGACCTCTCCCCCAGGTCCCGCCTGCGGTCTCCCAGACCTCTCCCCCACGTCCCGCCTGCGGTCTCCCAGACCTCTCCCCCACGTCCCGCCTGCGGTCTCCCAGACCTCTCCCCACGTCCCGCCTGCGGTCTCCCAGACCTCTCCCCCACGTCCCGCCTGCGGTCTCCCAGACCTCTCCCCCACGTCCCGCCTGCGGTCTCCCAGACCTCTCCCCCACGTCCCGCCTGCGGTCTCCCAGACCTCTCCCCCACGTCCCGCCTGCGGTCTCCCAAACCTCTCCCCCACGTCCCGCCTGCGGTCTCCCAAACCTCTCCCCCCACGTCCCGCCTGCGGGTCTCCCAGACCTCTCCCCCACGTCCCCCCGCCTGCGGTCTCCCAGACCTCTCCCCCCACGTCCCGCCTGCGGTCTCTCCAGACCTCTCCCCACGTCCCGCCTGCGGTCTCCCAGACCTCTCCCCCACGTCCCGCCTGCGGTCTCCCAGACCTCTCCCCCACGTCCCGCCTGCGGTCCTCTCCCAGACCTCTCCCCCACGTCCCGCCTGCGGTCTCCCAGACCTCTCCCCCCACGTCCCGCCTGCGGTCTCCCAGACCTCTCCCCCACGTCCCGCCTGCGGTCTCCCAGACCTCTCCCCCACGTCCCGCCTGCGGTCTCCCAGACCTCTCCCCCACGTCCCGCCTGCGGTCTCCCAGACCTCTCCCCCACGTCCCGCCTGCGGTCTCCCAGACCTCTCCCCCACGTCCCGCCTGCGGTCTCCCAGACCTCTCCCCCACGTCCCGCCTGCGGTCTCCCAGACCTCTCCCCCACGTCCCGCCTGCGGTCTCCCAGACCTCTCCCCCACGTCCCGCCTGCGGTCTCCCCAGACCTCTCCCCCCACGTCCCGCCTGCGGTCTCCCCAGACCTCTCCCCCACGTCCCGCCTGCGGTCTCCCAGACCTCTCCCCCACGTCCCGCCTGCGGTCTCCCAGACCTCTCCCCCCACGTCCCGCCTGCGGTCTCCCAGACCTCTCCCCCCACGTCCCGCCTGCGGTCTCCCAGACCTCTCCCCCACGTCCCGCCTGCGGTCTCCCAGACCTGCCCCCCAGTCCCGCCTGCGGTCTCCCAGACCTCCCCCCACGTCCCGCCTGCGGTCTCCCAGACCTCTCCCCCACGTCCCGCCTGCGGTCTCCCAGACCTCTCCCCCACGTCCCGCCTGCGGTCTCCCAGACCTCTCCCCCACGTCCCGCCTGCGGTCTCCCAGACCTCTCCCCCACGTCCCGCCTGCGGTCTCCCAGACCTCTCCCCCACGTCCCGCCTGCGGTCTCCCAGACCTCTCCCCCACGTCCCGCCTGCGGTCTCCCAGACCTCTCCCCCACGTCCCGCCTGCGGTCTCCCAGACCCTCTCCCCCACGTCCCGCCTGCGGTCTCCCAGACCTCTCCCCCACGTCCCGCCTGCGGTCTCCCAGACCTCTCCCCCACATCCCGCCTGCGGTCTCCCAGACCTCTCCCCCACGTCCCGCGCCTGCGGTCTCCCAGACCTCTCCCCCACATCCCGCCTGCGGTCTCCCAGACCTCTCCCCCACGTCCCGCCTGCGGTCTCCCAGACCTCTCCCCCACGTCCCGCCTGCGGTCTCCACCAGACCTCTCCCCCACATCCCGCCTGCGGTCTCCCAGACCTCTCCCCCACGTCCCGCCTGCGGTCTCCCAGACCTCTCCCCCACGTCCCGCCTGCGGTCTCCCAGACCTCTCCCCCACGTCCCGCCTGCGGTCTCCCAGACCTCTCCCCCACGTCCCGCCTGCGGTCTCCCAGACCTCTCCCCCACATCCCGCCTGCGGTCTCCCCCAGACCCAGACCTCTCCCCCCACGTCCCGCCTGCGGTCTCCCAGACCTCTCCCCCACGTCCCGCCTGCGGTCTCCCAGACCTCTCCCCCACGTCCCGCCTGCGGCCTCCCAGACCTCTCCTCCCACCTCACTCCCAGACCTCTCCCCCACATCCCACCTGCGGTCTCCCAGACCTCTCTCCCCACGTCCCGCCTGCGGTCTCCCAGACCTCTCCCCCACGTCCCGCCTGCGGTCTCCCCCAGACCTCTCCCCCACGTCCCGCCTGCGGTCTCCCAGACCTCTCCCCCACTCCCGCCTGCGGTCTCCCAGACCTCTCCCCCACGTCCCGCCTGCGGTCTCCCAGACCTCTCCCCCACGTCCCGCCTGCGGTCTCCCAGACCTCTCCCCCCACGTCCCGCCTGCGGTCTCCCAGACCTCTCCCCCACGTCCCGCCTGCGGTCTCCCAGACCTCTCCCCCACGTCCCGCCTGCGGTCTCCCAGACCTCTCCCCCACGTCCCGCCTGCGGTCTCCCAGACCTCTCCCCCACGTCCCGCCTGCGGTCTCCCAGACCTCTCCCCCACGTCCCGCCTGCGGTCTCCCAGACCTCTCCCCCACGTCCCGCCTGCGGTCTCCCAGACCTCTCCCCCACGTCCCGCCTGCGGTCTCCCAGACCTCTCCCCCACGTCCCGCCTGCGGTCTCCCAGACCTCTCCCCCACGTCCCGCCTGCGGTCTCCCAGACCTCTCCCCCACGTCCCCTGCCCTGCGGTCTCCCAGACCTCTCCCCCACGTCCCGCCTGCGGTCTCCCAGACCTCTCCCCCACGTCCCGCCTGCGGTCTCCCCTCTCCCCCAGACCTCTCCCCAGACCTCTCCCCCACGTCCCGCCTGCGGTCTCCCAGACCTCTCCCCCACGTCCCGCCTGCGGTCTCCCAGACCTCTCCCCCACGTCCCGCCTGCGGTCTCCCAGACCTCTCCCCCACGTCCCGCCTGCGGTCTCCCAGACCTCTCCCCCACGTCCCGCCTGCGGTCTCCCAGACCTCTCCCCCACGTCCCGCCTGCGGTCTCCCAGACCTCTCCCCCACGTCCCGCCTGCGGTCTCCCAGACCTCTCCCCCACGTCCCGCCTGCGGTCTCCCAGACCTCTCCCCCACGTCCCGCCTGCGGTCTCCCAGACTTCTCCCCCACGTCCCGCCTGCGGTCTCCCAGACCTCTCCCCCAGGTCCCGCCTGCGGTCTCCCAGACCTCTCCCCCACGTCCCGCCTGCGGTCTCCCAGACCTCTCCCCCACGTCCCGCCTGCGGTCTCCCAGACCTCTCCCCCACGTCCCGCCTGCGGTCTCCCAGACCTCTCCCCCACATCCCGCCTGCGGTCTCCCAGACCTCTCCCCCACGTCCCACCTGCGGTCTCCCAGACCTCTCCCCCACGTCCCGCCTGCGGTCTCCCAGACCTCTCCCCCACGTCCTGCCTGCGGCCTCCCAGACCTCTCCCAGACCTCTCTCCACGTCACTCCCAGACCTCTCCCCCACATCCCACCTGCGGTCTCCCAGACCTCTCTCCCACGTCCCGCCTGCGGCCTCCCAGACCTCTCCCCCACGTCCCGCCTGCGGTCTCCCAGACCTCTCCCCCACATCCCTCTTTTGGGATCTCACATAAGGTCTTGTAAGGATCTCTATGTCTCTTATTTATTCTAGAAATATCTCATGACTAGCTCCCATCTATGGTCCTGTAGGGATCTCGTCACAATATCCTATATCTGTTCTATACAGATCTCATTACTCAACAAAAACTAAGAAAACGTCCCAGCTCACTTACCAGCCAGCCTGCAGCAAACCAAATAGTCGTGCAAACAGTAAACGATAAAACCAGGGCCTACGTTTGCACACATTTGCAGATATATGCATTAGCTGTAGAGGCCAAATCACGGCACCCAGGTATTCTGCAGTCCTAACTATCATTTTTGAGATCCTCCATAGTAGGAGCACATGTATATTTATGGACAGATTGGGGTCAGGAATGCCTGGAGGGAGCCCACCCGTCTTTAAAAGGCACCCTCACCTGGTTGTACAGAGTGCACAAAGGTATGACAAGAGACAGCATATCGATCGTTCCCCAATCACAAAGTCCTGATTGTGATCGTCCAGACAATTCCCTACAACTGAAATCTCCCAAACATCAGGTAATCAGCGTCCTAATGGCATTTTGGGGTCAGCCGCAGAGCGGACAGACAAAGCGGTCAGCAGATGAACCAACATAGCTAAACCCATGAAATGAATATGTTCAGATTAGGTCTTCCACACATGAAATGAATATGTTCGGATTATGTCATACAGTCATGACACGGAGATTCTCAGATTGGCTCTTACACCCATGAAATGGATCTTGCTGGATTATGTCATACAAATGAGCACATGAACATGTTACCAGACACCACAACAATGGAGGAGAACGACTTCCCAGCAGCAGAGGGCCCCCATGTCATACTTCACAATACAGGGAGCCACCCGCACAGCAGGGGGCCCCATGTCATACTTCACAATACAGGGAGCCACCCGCACAGCAGAGGGCCCCCATGTCATACTTCACAATACAGGGAGCCACCCGCACAGCAGAGGGCCCCCATGTCATACTTCACAATACAGGGAGCCACCCGCACAGCAGAGGGCCCCCATGTCATACTTCACAATACAGGGAGCCTCCCACCCGCACAGCAGAGGGCCCCCATGTCATACTTCACAATACAGGGAGCCACCCGCACAGCAGAGGGCCCCCATGTCATACTTCACAATACAGGGAGCCTCCCACCCGCACAGCAGAGGGCCCCCATGTCATACTTCACAATACAGGGAGCCACCCGCACAGCAGCAGGGGCCCCCATGTCATACTTCACAATACAGGGAGCCACCCGCACAGCAGAGGGCCCCCATGTCATACTTCACAATACAGGGAGCCACCCGCACAGCAGAGGGCCCCCCCATGTCATACTTCACAATACAGGGAGCCACCCGCACAGCAGAGGGGCCCCATGTCATACTTCACAATACAGGGAGCCACCCGCACAGCAGAGGGCCCCCATGTCATACTTCACAATACAGGGAGCCACCCGCACAGCAGAGGGCCCCCATGTCATACTTCACAATACAGGGAGCCTCCCACCCGCACAGCAGAGGGCCCCCATGTCATACTTCACAATACAGGGAGCCTCCCACCCGCACAGCAGAGGGCCCCCATGTCATACTTCACAATACAGGGAGCCACCCGCACAGCAGAGGGCCCCCATGTCATACTTCACAATACAGGGAGCCACCCGCACAGCAGAGGGCCCCCATGTCATACTTCACAATACAGGGCCACCCGCACAGCAGAGGGCCCCCATGTCATACTTCACAATACAGGGAGCCACCCGCACAGCAGAGGGCCCCCATGTCATACTTCACAATACAGGGAGCCACCCGCACAGCAGAGGGCCCCCATGTCATACTTCACAATACAGGAAGCCACCCGCACAGCAGAGGGCCCCCATGTCATACTTCACAATACAGGGAGCCTCCCACCCGCACAGCAGAGGGCCCCCATGTCATACTTCACAATACAGGGAGCCTCCCACCCGCACAGCAGAGGGCCCCCATGTCATACTTCACAATACAGGGAGCCTCCCACCCGCACAGCAGAGGGCCCCCATGTCATACTTCACAATACAGGGAGCCACCCGCACAGCAGAGGGCCCCCATGTCATACTTCACAATACAGGGAGCCTCCCACCCCGCACAGCAGAGGGCCCCCATGTCATACTTCACAATACAGGGAGCCTCCCACCCACACAGCAGAGGGCCCCCATGTCATACTTCACAATACAGGGAGCCTCCCACCCGCACAGCAGAGGGCCCCCATGTCATACTTCACAATACAGGGAGCCTCCCACCCGCACAGCAGAGGGCCCCCATGTCATACTTCACAATACAGGGAGCCTCCCACCCGCACAGCAGAGGGGGCCCATGTCATATTTCACAATACAGGGAGCCTCCCACCCGCACAGCAGAGGGCCCCCATGTCATACTTCACAATACAGGGAGCCTCCCACCCGCACAGCAGAGGGCCCCCATGTCATACTTCACAATACAGGGAGCCTCCCACCCGCACAGCAGAGGGCCCCCATGTCATACTTCACAATACAGGGAGCCACCCGCACAGCAGAGGGCCCCCATGTCATACTTCACAATACAGGGAGCCACCCGCACAGCAGAGGGCCCCCATGTCATACTTCACAATACAGGGAGCCTCCCACCCACACAGCAGAGGGCCCCCATGTCATACTTCACAATACAGGGAGCCTCCCACCCGCACAGCAGAGGGCCCCCATGTCATACTTCACAATACAGGGAGCCACCCGCACAGCAGAGGGCCCCCATGTCATACTTCACAATACAGGGAGCCACCCGCACAGCAGAGGGCCCCCATGTCATACTTCACAATACAGGGAGCCACCCGCACAGCAGAGGGCCCCCATGTCATACTTCACAATACAGGGAGCCTCCCACCCGCACAGCAGAGGGCCCCCATGTCATACTTCACAATACAGGGAGCCACCCGCACAGCAGAGGGCCCCCATGTCATACTTCACAATACAGGGAGCCACCCGCACAGCAGAGGGCCCCCATGTCATACTTCACAATACAGGGAACCTCCCACCCGCACAGCAGAGGGCCCCCATGTCATACTTCACAATACAGGGAGCCTCCCACCCGCACAGCAGAGGGCCCCCCCCCATGTCATACTTCACACTACAGGGAGAGAGGAGAGCGCAGGGTACAGGGAGCCTCCCACTCGTCACAGCACAGCAGAGGGCCCCCATGTCATACTTCACAATACAGGGAGCCTCCCACCCGCACAGCAGAGGGCCCCCATGTCATACTTCACAATACAGGGAGCCTCCCACCCGCACAGCAGAGGGCCCCCATGTCATACTTCCCAATACAGGGAGAGAGGAGAGCGCAGGGTACAGGGAACCTCCCACCCGCACAGCAGAGGGCCCCCATGTCATACTTCCCAATACAGGGAGAGAGGGAGAGCGCAGGGTACAGGGAGCCTCCCACCCGCACAGCAGAGGTCCCCCATGTCATACTTCACAATACAGGGAGCCTCCCACCCGCACAGCAGAGGGTCCCCATGTCATACTTCACAATACAGGGAGCCTCCCACCCGCACAGCAGAGGGCCCCCATGTCATACTTCACAATACAGGGAGCCTCCCACCCGCACACTCACCTTCTGGCATTTGATCGGGAGTTGCGGTGTGACATGTATGTGAGCGTCCGATGCAAAAATATTGGCTGTGAATAAGAAAAGTCAGTTATAAAAAGATTGGCAGTGACAGGCTGGAGACATTTCCATTTACTTCTGCTGCAATGATGGAGACCTGCACTCCTCATCCACTACGCCTGTGCCTCTTCACCTTGGGCTGGACACTTCATGCCCACCAGATATCTCCTTCCTAACAGTTCAATGTGAGCCATCAGATCTCACGCGTCACCAATCATATCTGCCCCCCCCCCCCCCCCCCCCCCCCCATGCTTGGTCTGCATGTAAATGTGGAGAAAATATAAATCATGGGCTGCCAAAAATATATATATGGTGAGCGGTACCATTACTGCCAGTGGCTCCATACAGATCCCGGATTTATCATCGCTCACAGGACGCCACACCTGCCCACGCAGCCCAGGACGCCACACCTGCCCACGCAGCCCAGGACGCCACACCTGCCTAGGACGCCACTCCTGCCCACGCAGCCCAGGACGCCACACCTGCCCAGGACGCCACTCCTGCCCACGCAGCCCAGGACGCCACACCTGCCCACGCAGCCCAGGACGCCACACCTGCCCACGCAGCCCAGGACGCCACACCTGCCCACGCAGCCCAGGACGCCACACCTGCCCACGCAGCCCAGGACGCCACACCTGCCCACGCAGCCCAGGACGCCACACCTGCCCACGCAGCCCAGGACGCCACACCTGCCCACGCAGCCCAGGACGCCACACCTGCCCACCCAACCCAGGATGCCACACCTGCCCACGCAGCCCAGGACGCCACACCAGCCCAGGATGCCACACCTGCCCACCCAACCCAGGACGCCACACCTGCCCACGCAGCCCAGGACACCATACCTGCCCACCCAACCCAGGACGCCATACCTGCCCATGCAGCCCACCCCACAACGGCTGCCCATGCAACTCAGCCCACGACGGCTGCCCATGCCACCCAGTCACCCAATCCATGATATCTGCAAGGAAGAGCAGTGAAGGGGAAGTTGGGATAAAGGAAAACATTTACTTACAGCAATAAGATTCCGTGTCCTCAGAAAGCGATATATCTGGGTGGGCTCTGAAAATATAAATGACAATCTTTAGTCACAGGACTTCATCAATGTGGCCAGACGCAGGTAAGAGGAAAGTTGCTGATTACTACAATACCATTCTTAGTGTCTCTATGCAGGCTCTTGTATTATCCTGTACAACTAGGAGGAGGGGCAATACTCTGACCCAATCAGATCCTGCGGCACATGCTTACAATAGCAATCTGACTACAGAAGAAGAGGACTTTAAGGAACTGCTGCTCCTTCACTGTCCAATAGCAGGGTCCAGGGAGGAGCTAGGGCTGGATCAAATATCAGGTGGAACTAAGTCAGGTCACCATCCTAGCTGTGCGGCGTGGCAGGGTGATGTCAATGTACGGATGGACAAAATGACAGTCTATGGCAGGTAAGCATCTCCCCATTTATATATTTTAGCTGTCAGTCGGGTAGCCAGCTTGGGCAGTCTGATACTACAATACACAACCAATCAGGACACCGATACAGAGGAGCTGTACTGTGGAGGCTGTTCACATCACGTCTGAGCGATGTTTATAAACAATGTTACTTTGTATCTCTATCCCCGTCTGAGCGATGTTTATAAACAATGTTACTTTGTATCTCTCTATCCCCCGTCTGATGGATGTTTATAAACAATGTTACTTTGTATCTCTATCTCCCCGTCTGATCGATGTTTATAAACAATGTTACTTTGTATCTCTATCTCCCGTCTGATCGATGTTTATAAACAATGTTACTTTGTATCTCTATCTCCCGTCTGATCGATGTTTATAAACAATGTTACTTTGTATCTCTATCTCCCGTCTGATCGATGTTTATAAACAATGTTACTTTGTATCTCTATCTCCCGTCTGATCGATGTTTATAAACAATGTTACTTTGTATCTCTCCTGTCTGATCGATGTTTATAAACAATGTTACTTTGTATCTCTCTATCTCCCGTCTGATCGATGTTTATAAACAATGTTACTTTGTATCTCTCTATCTCCCCGTCTGATCGATGTTTATAAACAATGTTACTTTGTATCTCTCTATCCCCCGTCTGATGGATGTTTATAAACAATGTTACTTTGTATCTCTATCTCCCGTCTGATCGATGTTTATAAACAATGTTACTTTGTATCTCTCTATCTCCCGTCTGATCAATGTTTATAAACAATGTTACTTTGTATCTCTCCATCTCCCGTCTGATGGATGTTTATAAACAATGTTACTTTGTATCTCTATCTCCCCCGTCTGATCGATGTTTATAAACAATGTTACTTTGTATCTCTATCTCTCGTCTGATTGATGTTTATAAACAATGTTACTTTGAATCTCTCTCCCATCTCAGCAATGTTTATAAACAATGTTACTTTGTATCTCTCTCCCGTCTCAGCAATGTTTATAAACAATGTTACTTTGTACCTCTATCTCCCGTCTGATCGATGTTTATAAACAATGTTACTTTGTATCTCTCCCCGTCAGATGATAAACAAAGTAACATTGTTTATGTTTAAAAACAATGTTACTTTGTATCTCATCGCTCAGACGGGAGAGATACAAAGTTACATTGTTTATAAACATCGATCAGACGGGAGATAGAGGTTTACAAATGTAACATTGTTTATAAACATTGCTGAGATGGGATAGAACAATGTTACTTTGTACAAAGTAATCATTGTTTATAAACAATGTTACTGATCTCTATGGGAGAGAGATTTACAAAGTAACATTGTTTATAAACAATCAATCAGACGAGATCGATAGTTTATATACAACTTTGTATCTCTCCAACATTGTTTATAAACATCGCTACTTTGTATCTCTCGTCTGATCGATGTTTTATAAACAATGTTACTTTGAATCTCTCTCCCCGTCTCAGCAATGTTTATAAACAATGTTACTTTGTATCTCTATCTCCCGTCTGATCGATGTTTATAAACAATGTTACTTTGTATCTCTCCCGTCAGAGATACAAAGTATAAACATTGTTTATAAACATCGCTCAGACGGGAGAGATACAATGTAATCTCTATCTCTCGTCTGATTGTTTATAAACATCGATCAGACCCATCTCAGATAGAGGTACTCTCTCTCCCAAAGTAACATTGTTTATAAACATTTACTTTGAGATGGGAGAGAGATTCAAAGTAAACATTGTTTATAAACTCAATCAGACGAGTTTAGATAGAGATACTTTGTAAGTAACATTCTGTTTTTATAAACATTACTTTGTATCTCTATCTCTCGTCTGATCGATGTTTATAAACAATGTTACTTTGAATCTCTCTCCCATCTCAGTCAATGATGTTTATAAACAATGTTACTTTGTACCTCTATCTCCCGTCTGATCGATGTTTATAAACAATGTTACTTTGTATCTCTCTTGGCTCTGAACAATGTTTATAAACATGGGGTCAGGTTAATTCTAATAGCATGCTGCCTGCACTCATACTGAGAACCTGGGTTCCTGTGCAGCCTGTGATTTCCTAAGCAGTGCAGGGACTTGTTCCCTGTGTCCCGGGTCCCGGGAGTCCATGCAGAATGAATGGGCTCTCATGCGTGCACGAATCCCGTCCCGCACAGATGTGTACCCCGCCTTACATGTACAGTATTTACACCAACTGCGGGCTGTCATGACAGTGGGGCTGAGGGACGGGATGTACTGCACATGCTCGGTGTACATCCAGTAAGATTTCGGGATGCTTGTATGAAGCCCAGTGTCCACAACTTCAGAACCCCCTCCCAAAAACAGAACAAAATAAATAAACCCCCGCCAGCCCCCCCGAGCTCCCCAATCTGACCCAACATAAAAGCTTGGACGGTGGCTGTACTCCTACCGAACGGGGGCCCCATCTCAGTCTATAGACTGCAGGGTGGCCAACCTGCGGCTCTCCAGCTGCTGCAGGACTACAAGTTCCATCATGCCTCTGCAAGTCAGTAACTTTCCATCTTTGCAATGCCTCATGGGAAATGTAGTTCCACAACAGCTGGAGAGCCACAGGTTAGCCACCCCTGCTATAGAGGGTAGAATGCAGGACGTGACACAGAGAGGTAGGTAGAATCTGGGTGTTAGGTGGTCGGTGTCTGGCTGGGGGGGGGATCCTTTATACTGAACACATAGCGGCATGATTGGAGTTCACCTTTACACCCCTATCCCCTCTGCAGGTCCTAGCTTCCCCGTGTCATGTAAATCACCAAACCACAGACTGTTGTCAGACCAGCCCGCCCTGTGTTCACCAATCATGTCACGGGTGTGTCAGCAACAAGCAGAAGACGACCGGATCACGTCTTCAGAGAGGAACGCAGCGTACACGGGAACCGCCCCATACCCGTGTGTGCACCAGGAAATAGCTTCCCCTGCCGGCAGCCTCCTGTACTGGCTGAGCACATGACAAGGTGAAGCCAGGCACACAGGAAATGATGGTGAAGGTCTAGGAGGAAGTGGTGTGAGGTCACATGACCCTACACGCAGCAGGACCACCACCACGGAACACGTGTGTGGCTCTGTATGCCCATTAGAACATGCCATGTGCAGTGTACAACCGCCATGTGTCAGAACTCAGAAAGAGACCACAAACTCACAATACATGAATAGTGTGCAGAAACATCTCATCCTTTATTTCTCAAATAGAAAAAGTCGTCCAGCCATACACATATGACACAATCGGGGACGTGTACTGTACAGACGTGTCCTCTATAGATGGAACATACAACACATCAGTGTGAAACACGCTCAGTGCTTCCACCTTCACCCATCACATATCCACCACTCATCATCACACCTTGTATTCCTGCTAGCAGACCTCCAATAGACTGCAACACGGGAAGATCATAGGATTGGACAGATCCCCCAATACTTGGGCAGATCCCCCTATACTTGGGCAGATCCCCCAATACTTGGGCAGATCCCCCAATACTTGGGCAGATCCCCCAATACTTGGGCAGATCCCCCAATACTTGGGCAGATCCCCCTATACTTGGGCAGATCCCCCTATACTTGGACAGATCTCCCAATACTTGGGCAGATCCCCCTATACTTGGGCAGATCCCCCTATACTTGGACAGATCTCCCAATACTTGGACAGATCTCCCAATACTTGGGCAGATCCCCCAATACTTGGGCAGATCCCCCAATACTTGGGCAGATCCCCCTATACTTGGGCAGATCCCCCTATACTTGGGCAGATCCCCCTATACTTGGGCAGATCCCCCTATACTTGGACAGATCCCCCTATACTTGGACAGATCCCCCAATACTTGGACAGATCCCCCAATACTTGGACAGATCCCCCAATACTTGGACAGATCCCCCAATACTTGGGCAGATCCCCCTATACTTGGGCAGATCCCCCAATACTTGGGCAGATCCCCCAATACTTGGGCAGATCCCCCAATACTTGGGCAGATCCCCCTATACTTGGGCAGATCCCCCTATACTTGGACAGATCTCCCAATACTTGGGCAGATCCCCCTATACTTGGACAGATCTCCCAATACTTGGGCAGATCCCCCTATACTTGGACAGATCTCCCAATACTTGGGCAGATCCCCCAATACTTGTGCAGATCCCCCAATACTTGTGCAGATCCCCCAATACTTGTGCAGATCCCCCAATACTTGGACAGATCCCCCAATACTTGGACAGATCCCCCAATACTTGGACAGATCCCCCAAAACTTGGACAGATCCCCCAATACTTGGACAGATCCCCCAATACTTGGACAGATCCCCCAAGCAGTGCAATCCTTCCAGCACTGACCTCAGGATGATGGTGAACACCAGCAAGGAACCAACATACACAACTGTGTTCCTCATGGACTCATCCCAATCCACACTGTAGAATGGAGGTGGGGTTGTAGGCAATGAAAGCCAAACGCACAAGCCACTCCCACACGGAGGGGACACACCCATAACGGGTCATAGTTCTGTTGGTTCCTTACACTGGCTGTCCTAGACCAGAGAGGGAGTGCAGTAGGGACTGGCCACGGAGGACATTGTAATATTCACTATACTGCCCCAAGTATTGTCTCCGCCCTACAAATCATGTGATTCAGGTGTCCCAATCCCCTCCCAATCATGTGATTCCGGTGTTCCAATCCCCTCCATATCATGTGATTCCGGTGTTCCAATCCCCCTCCATATCATGTGATTCAGGTGTTCCAATCCCCCTCCATATCATGTGATTCAGGTGTTCCAATCCCCCTCCATATCATGTGATTCAGGTGTTCCAATCCCCCTCCATATCATGTGATTCAGGTGTTCCAATCCCCCTCCATATCATGTGATTCCGGTGTTCCAATCCCCCTCCATATCATGTGATTCCGGTGTTCCAATCCCCCTCCATATCATGTGATTCCGGTGTTCCAATCCCCCTCCATATCATGTGATTCCGGTGTTCCAATCCCCTCCATATCATGTGATTCCGGTGTTCCAATCCCCCTCCATATCATGTGATTCAGGTGTTCCAATCCCCCTCCATATCATGTGATTCAGGTGTTCCAATCCCCCTCCATATCATGCGATTCAGGTGTTCCAATCCCCCTCCATATCATGCGATTCAGGTGTTCCAATCCCCCTCCATATCATGCGATTCAGGTGTTCCAATCCCCCTCCATATCATGCGATTCAGGTGTTCCAATCCCCCTCCATATCATGCGATTCAGGTGTTCCAATCCCCCTCCATATCATGCGATTCAGGTGTTCCAATCCCCCTCCATATCATGCGATTCAGGTGTTCCAATCCCCCTCCATATCATGCGATTCAGGTGTTCCAATCCCCCTCCATATCATGTGATTCAGGTGTTCCAATCCCCCTCCATATCATGTGATTCAGGTGTTCCAATCCCCCTCCATATCATGTGATTCAGGTGTTCCAATCCCCCTCCATATCATGTGATTCAGGTGTTCCAATCCCCCTCCATATCATGTGATTCAGGTGTTCCAATCCCCCTCCATATCATGTGATTCAGGTGTTCCAATCCCCCTCCATATCATGTGATTCAGGTGTTCCAATCCCCCTCCATATCATGTGATTCAGGTGTTCCAATCCCCCTCCATATCATGTGATTCAGGTGTTCCAATCCCCCTCCATATCATGTGATTCAGGTGTTCCAATCCCCCTCCATATCATGTGATTCAGGTGTTCCAATCCCCCTCCATATCATGTGATTCAGGTGTTCCAATCCCCCTCCATATCATGTGATTCAGGTGTTCCAATCCCCCTCCATATCATGTGATTCAGGTGTTCCAATCCCCCTCCATATCATGTGATTCAGGTGTTCCAATCCCCCTCCATATCATGTGATTCAGGTGTTCCAATCCCCCTCCATATCATGTGATTCAGGTGTTCCAATCCCCTCCATATCATGTGATTCAGGTGTTCCAATCCCCCTCCATATCATGTGATTCAGGTGTTCCAATCCCCTCCATGGACACAGGTGTATACAATCCAGCCCCTAGGCATGCAGACGGCTTCTACAAACATTGGTGAAAGAATGGGTCGCTCTCAGGAGCTCAGTGACTCCAAGCGTGGTCCCGTGATAGGTGGCCACCTGGGCAATAAGTCCATCCGTGACATTTCCTGGCTACTAAATATTCCACGCTCAACTGTTAGTGGGATTATAACAAAGTGGGAGCCACTGGGAACAACAGCCACTCAGCCACCAAGTGGTAGGCCACGTCACATGACAGGGCGGGGTCAGCGCATGCTGAAGCACACAGTGCGCAGAAGTCGCCAACTGTCTGCAGAGTCAATAGCTAAAGACCTCCAAACTTGGTGTGGCCTTCAGATGAGCCCAACAACAGTGCGTAGAGAGCTTCATGGAATGGGTTTCCATGGCCGAGCAGCTGCATCCAAGCCTTCCATCACCAAGTGCAATGCAAAGCGTCAGATGCCGGGGGTGTAAAGCACGCCGCCACTGGACTCTAGAGCAGAGGAGACATATTCTCTGGAGGGACCAATCACCCTTCTCTGTCTGGCAATCCGATGGACGTGTCTGGGTTTGGTGGTGGCCAGGAGAAAGTACTTGCCTGACTGCATTGTGCCAAGTGTAAAGTTTGGTGGAGGGGGGATTATGGTGTGGAGGTTGTTCTTCAGGGGTTGGGTTTGGCCCCCTAGTTCCAGTGAAGGGAACTCTTAAGGTGACATTTTGGACCATTTCATGCCCCCAACTTTGTGGGAAGAGTTTGGGGATGGCCCCTTCCTGTTCCAACATGACTGCCCCCAGTGCACAAAGCAAGGTCCATAAAGACATGGAGGAGCCAGTTTGGGGTGGAGGAACTTGACTGTCCTGCACAGAGTCCTGACCTCAACCCCATAGAACACCTTTGGGATGAATTAGAGGCGGAGACTGTGAGCCAGGCCTCCTCCCCCGACATCAGTGCCTGACATCAGTGCCTGACCTGACAAATGTGCTTCTGGAAGAATGGTCCAACCTTCCCATAGACACCCTCCTAAACCTTGTGGACGGCCTTCCCAGAAGAGCTGAAGCTGTTATAGCTGCAAAGGGCGGAGGCCAACTCAATATTGAACCCTACACTGGGGGGCCATTAAAGGTCATGTGAAAGGGCGGGGCCAACTCAAGACCCTGGGGGGGCATTAAAGGTCATGTGTGTGGGAAAGGGCGGGCCAACTCAATATAGAACCCTACGGACTAAGACTGGGGGGCATTAAAGGTCATGTGTGTGGAAAGGGCGGGGCAAACTCAATATTGAACCCTACAGACTAAGACTGGGGGGCCATTAAAGGTCATGTGTGTGGAAGGGCGGGCCAACTCAATATTGAACCCTACAGGACTAAGACTGGGGGGGCATTAAAGGTCATGTGCAAAGAAAGGGCGGGGCAAACTCAATATTGAACCCTACGGACTAAGACTGGGAGGCCATTAAAGGTCATGTGCAAAGAAAGGGCGGGGCCAACTCAATATTGAACCCTACGGACTAAGACTGGGAGGCCATTAAAGGTCATGTGCAAAGAAAGGGCGGGGCCAACTCAATATTGAACCCTACGGACTAAGACTGGGGGGTCACTAAAGCTCATGTGTGTGGGAAGGTCGGAGACCAATACTTGGGGCAATATAGTGTACATGAACCTACAATCTATGACACATCTGGTGTGTAGAGTACATGCGGAGGGTTTGTGAATGATCTCATCCAATGACATCCAAGAGCGATGAATATCAGGGGGATACAAGATACATTGTTTCAGATAGATAATGAGCCAGACATACAATGATATCTGATACAACCCATACAGACACATGAGGTGTGATAATACCATATCAGATATAATCTACAGAGGAATAGAAGGTGTGATCTATACAATATACAGGGGTGACCCATACTGTCAGGGGTGATCTATACAACCCATACTGTCAGGGGTGATCTATACAATCCATACTGTCAGGGGTGATCTATACAATCCATACTGTCAGGGGTGATCTATACAATCCATACTGTCAGGGGTGATCTATACAATCCATACTGTCAGGGGTGATCATATACAATCCATACTGTCAGGGGTGATCTATACAATCCATACTGTCAGGGGTGATCTATACAATCCATACTGTCAGGGGTGATCTATACAATCCATACTGTCAGGGGTGATCTATACAATCCACACTGTCGGGGTGATCTATACAACCTATACTGTCAGGGGTGATCTATACAATCCATACTGTCAGGGGTGATCTATACAATCCATACTGTCAGGGGTGATCTATACAATCCACACTGTCGGGGTGATCTATACAACCTATACTGTCAGGGGTGATCTATACAATCCATACTGTCAGGGGTGATCTATACAATCCATACTGTCAGGGGTGATCTATACAATCCATACTGTCAGGGTGATCTATACAATCCATACTGTCAGGGGTGATCTATACAATCCATACGGTCAGGGGGTCTATGCAATCCACACTGTCAGTGTGATCTATACAATCCATACTGTCAGGGGTGATCTATACAATCCATACTGTCAGGGGTGATCTATACAATCCATACTGTCAGGGGTGATCTATACAATCCACACTGTCAGGGGTGATCTATACAATCCATACTGTCAGGGGTGATCTATACAATCCATACTGTCAGGGGTGGTCTATACAATCCACACTGTCAGGGGTGGTCTATACAATCCACACTGTCAGGGGTGATCTATACAATCCATATTGTCAGGGGTGGTCTATACAACCCATACTGTCAGGGGTGATCTATACAATCCATACTGTCAGGGGTGGTCTATACAATCCATACTGTCAGGGGTGGTCTATACAATCCACACTGTCAGGGGTGGTCTATACAATCCACACTGTCAGGGGTGATCTATACAATCCATACTGTCAGGGGTGATCTATACAATCCATACTGTCAGGGGTGATCTATGCAATCCATACTGTCAGGGGTGGTCTATACAATCCATACTGTCAGGGGTGGTCTATACAATCCACACTGTCAGGGGTGGTCTATACAATCCATATTGTCAGGGGTGGTCTATACAATCCACTGTCAGGGGTGATCTATACAATCCATACTGTCAGGGGTGATCTATACAATCCATACTGTCAGGGGTGATCTATACAATCCATACTGTCAGGGTGATCTATACAATCCATACTGTCAGGGGTGATCTATACAATCCATACTGTCAGGGGTGATCTATACAATCCATATTGTCAGGGGTGATCTATACAATCCATACTGTCAGGGGTGATCTATACAATCCATATTGTCAGGGGTGGTCTATACAATCCATACTGTCAGGGGTGGTCTATACAATCCATACTGTCAGGGGTGGTCTATACAATCCCACTGTCAGGGGTGATCTATACAATCCATACTGTCAGGGGTGGTCTATACAATCCCATACTGTCAGGGGTGGTCTATACAATCCATACTGTCAGGGGTGATCTATACAATCCATACTGTCAGGGGTGGTCTATACAATCCATACTGTCAGGGGTGATGTATAAAAGGTGTGTAAAGAAGAATGATATCCAATACAAGCCATACAGATATATGGGGTGTGATATATATATATACATCCAGGTAGAAGGGGTGTGATACGTGTAATAGGAGAGGTAGGACTCATACAGGGACATAAGATGTGAGAGATACGATGTCAGGTATAATCTATAGAGGAATATAAGGTATGCCATATACAGTATGAGGTGAGATGTATACAGAGATGAGCCATGGTGTATATGGAACAGATACAAGAGGCCCGGACCAGAGAAGACCATGGAACTCTATAGGAGGTGATGTATAGAACACAAACGGAGAGATTTGGAATATACAACACATTATACCAAGTCCGTAAAGCCGAAAGAAGGAGCCTGGGGTGTGCAGGATATAAAGATCTATAGGGGCTGGTGTACAGAACACATAGGTGATATAGATCAGCCTGAGAGAAGGGCTCCAGGGCAGGGACGGAGTCTATAGAGGACATAGGGAAGAGAGGTGTGCACTGGCATGCTGTATGGTTGTTCCTCCACCTTCTCTGTATGATCCATGGAATGACAGGTCTGACAGGAGGCTAGGAGGGAGCCTATAGACCAAGTCTATACTGGGACATATCAGAAGTTCTACGCTGACTGATACTCTCCATACATTGTGATGATTATCACAGCCACATGTCCAGTTCTGGCCCTGGTTATAATATAGGGGATATACGCAACGTGCTATATACACTGTATTATACTATAGAGTACATGGGGGTATATACATTATAAGAGATACATACAATAATAGGAAATATATACAGTACAATATACTGACCACACAGGAGATCCAGGAAATACAATAGGACTCTACAGAAGAGGATGAATAGAACATAGGGGGATATAAATATAGGAGGAGAAATCTATAGAACATATAGGGGTATACACACTGTAATAGGAGGTGATGTATATAATATATAGGGGTATACACACTATACTAGGAGAATGTATAGGATATATAGGGGTATACACACTGTAATAGGAGGTGATGTATATAATATATAGGGGTATACACACTATACTAGGAGAATGTATAGGATATATAGGGGTATACACACTGTAATAGGAGGTGATGTATATAATATATAGGGGTATACACACCATAATAGGAGAATGTATAGGATATATAGGGGTATACACACTATACTAGGAGGAGAATGTATAGGATATATAGGGGTATACACACTATAATAGGAGAATGTATAGGATATATAGGGGTATACACACCATAATAGGAGAATGTATAGGATATATAGGGGTATACACACTATACTAGGAGAATGTATAGGATATATAGGGGTATACACACTATAATAGGAGGTGATGTATAGGATATATAGGGGTATACACACACTATATATATATATATATATATATATATATACACATACAAACACGTACACACAGTGTGGAAGTCCTGGTGTGATGGGGGAGGGGTATATACAGGCGATCTATAGGGGGCACATATATATATATATACGAAGTGTGGAAGGCCTGGTGTGGTGGGGGAGGGGTATACAGACGATCTATAGGGGGCACATATATATATAGGACGAAGTGTGGAAGGCCTGGTGATGGGGGAGGGGTATATACAGACGATCTATAGGGGGCACATATATATATATATACTGAGTGTGGAAGGCCTGGTGGTGGGGGAGGGGTATATACAGACGATCTATAGGGGGCACATATACACACTGAGTGTGGAAGGCCTGGTGTGGTGGGGGAGGGGTATATACAGACGAGCTATAGGGGGCACACATATATATACTGAGTGTGGAAGGCCTGGTGTGGTGGGGGAGGGGTATATACAGACGATCTATAGGGGGCACATATATATATATACACTGAGTGTGGAAGGCCTGGTGGTGGGGGAGGGGTATATACAGACGATCTATAGGGGGCACATATATATATATACTGAGTGTGGAAGGCCTGGTGTGGTGGGGGGGGGGGTATATACAGACCATCTATAGGGGGCACATATATATATACACTGAGTGTGGAAGGCCTGGTGGTGGGGGAGGGGTATATACAGACCATCTATAGGGGGCACATATATATATACACTGAGTGTGGAAGGCCTGGTGGTGGGGGAGGGGTATATACAGACGATCTATAGGGGGCACATATATATATATACTGAGTGTGGAAGGCCTGGTGTGGTGGGGGAGGGGTATATACAGACGATCTATAGGGGGCACATATATATATATACTGAGTGTGGAAGGCCTGGTGTGGTGGGGGAGGGGTATATACAGACCATCTATAGGGGGCACATATATATATATATACTGAGTGTGGAAGGCTGGTGGTGGGGGAGGGGTATATACAGACCATCTATAGGGGGCACATATTATATATATACAGACGATCTGTGGAAGGCCTGGTGTGGTGGGGGAGGGGTATTATACAGACGATCTATAGGGGGCACATATATATATACTGAGTGTGGAAGGCCTGGTGTGGTGGGGGAGGGGTATATACAGACGATCTATAGGGGGCACATATATATATACTGAGTGTGGAAGGCCTGGTGGTGGGGGAGGGGTATATACAGACCATCTATAGGGGGCACATATATATATATACTGACTCTCGAAGGCCTGCAGGAAGAGCTCGTGGTCGTGCCGGATCTGCTCCATCTTGGCCCTCTTGATGGGCGCCGCTCCCCCCGGGGGTGGTCCGGTGTTGGTCGGGGCCGCCGTGTTTCTGAGGCGCCATAGCCGGGGGGGGGAGGGGGAGGGGGTCACACATACACCCGCTGTACACCCGGCTACAGCGCGCTCTGCCCGCTCCCGCCCCGCAATTCTCATTCGCCGTCCTCCTGCTCCTCCGCGCCGCTCATTGGCCCGGCCGCCTGACCGTCATCCTCAAATTATACGTCACCCTGCGCGCCCGCTCTGCGCTTCAAACAGCAACCGCGGGAAGGGGAACAGCGCGAGGCATGCCGGGATCCAGGGGCGGGGCCAAGAAAAGAGCGCGCACCTGACTGACTGAACCAGTGAGTGAAATCTCCTCATAGAATATATGGAGGAGATGGAGATGTCTGTATACCGTGTACTGTGTATACCGCCCTGTATACCGTGTGTGACCTATACACCTCCCTGTATATACTGTGTGTGACCTATACACCTCCCCTGTATATACCGTGTGTGACCTATACACCTCCCTGTATATACTGTGTGGCGACCTATACACCTCCCTGTATATACTGTGTGTGACCTATACACCTCCCTGTATATACACCTCCCTGTGTGACCTATACACCTCCCTGTATATACTGTGTGTGACCTATACACCTCCCTGTATATACTGTGTGTGACCTATACACCTCCCTGTATATACTGTGTGTGACCTATACACCTCCCTGTATATACTGTGTGTGACCTATACACCTCCCTGTATATACTGTGTGTGACCTATACACCTCCCTGTATATACTGTGTGTGACCTATACACCTCCCTGTATACTGTGTGTGACCTATACACCTCCCTGTATATACTGTGTGTGACCTATACACCTCCCTGTATACTGTGTGTGACCTATACACCTCCCTGTATATACCTGTGTGTGACCTATACACCTCCCTGTATATACTGTGTGTGACCTATACACCTCCCTGTATGTGTGTGACCTATACACCTCCCTGTATATACTGTGTGTGACCTATACACCTCCCTGTATATACTGTGTGACCTATACACCTCCCTGTATACTGTGTGTGACCTATACACCTCCCTGTATACTGTGTGTGACCTATACACCTCCCTGTATATACTGTGTGTGTGACCTATACACCTCCCTGTATATGGTGGGGCACTGTGTGTGACCTATACACCTCCCTGTATATACTGTGTGTGACCTATACACCTCCTGTATATACTGTGTGTGACCTATACACCTCCCTGTATATACTGTGTGTGACCTATACACCTCCCTGTATACTGTGTGTGACCTATACACCTCCCTGTATACTGTGTGTGACCTATACACCTCCCTGTATATACTGTGTGTGACCTATACACCTCCCTGTATATACTGTGTGTGACCTATACACCTCCCTGTATACTGTGTGTGACCTATACACCTCCCTGTATATACTGTGTGTGACCTATACACCTCCCTGTATATACTGTGTGTGACCTATACACCTCCCTGTATATACTGTGTGTGACCTATACACCTCCCTGTATATACTGTGTGTGACCTATACACCTCCCTGTATATACTGTGTGTGACCTATACACCTCCCTGTATATACTGTGTGTGACCTATACACCTCCCTGTATATACTGTGTGTGACCTATACACCTCCCCTGTATATACTGTGTGTGACCTATACACCTCCCTGTATATACTGTGTGTGACCTATACACCTCCCTGTATATACTGTGTGTGACCTATACACCTCCCTGTATATACCGTGTGTGACCTATACACCCCCCTGTATATACTGTGTGTGACCTATACACCTCCCTGTATATACTGTGTGTGACCTATACACCTCCCTGTATATACTGTGTGTGACCTATACACCTCCCTGTATATACCGTGTGTGACCTATACACCTCCCTGTATACTGTGTGTGACCTATACACCTCCCTGTATATACTGTGTGTGACCTATACACCTCCCTGTATATACTGTGTGTGACCTATACACCTCCCTGTATATACTGTGTGTGACCTATACACCTCCCTGTATACTGTGTGTGACCTATACACCTCCCTGTATATACTGTGTGACCTATACACCTCCCCTGTATACTGTGTGTGACGCTATACACTATACACCTCCCTGTATATACTGTGTGTGACCTATACACCTCCCTGTATATACTGTGTGTGACCTATACACCTCCCTGTATATACTGTGTGTGACCTATACACCTCCCTGTATATACTGTGTGTGACCTATACACCTCCCTGTATATACTGTGTGTGACCTATACACCTCCCTGTATATACTGTGTGTGACCTATACACCTCCCTGTATATACTGTGTGTGACCTATACACCTCCCTGTATACTGTGTGTGACCTATACACCTCCCTGTATACTGTGTGTGACCTATACACCTCCCTGTATATACTGTGTGTGACCTATACACCTCCCTGTATATACTGTGTGTGACCTATACACCTCCCTGTATATACTGTGTGTGACCTATACACCTCCCTGTATACTGTGTGTGACCTATACACCTCCCTGTATACTGTGTGTGACCTATACACCTCCCTGTATACTGTGTGTGACCTATACACCTCCCTGTATATACTGTGTGTGACCTATACACCTCCCTGTATATACTGTGTGTGACCTATACACCTCCCTGTATATACCTGTGTGACCTATACACCTCCCTGTATATACTGTGTGACCTATACACCTCCCTGTATATATACTGTGTGTGACCTATACACCTCCCTGTATATACTATGTGTGACCTATATACACCTCCCTGTATATACTGTGTGTGACCTATACACCTCCCTGTATATACTGTGTGTGACCTATACACCTCCCTGTATATACTGTGTGTGACCTATACACCTCCCTGTATATACTGTGTGTGACCTATACACCTCCCTGTATACTGTGTGTGACCTATACACCTCCCTGTATATACTGTGTGTGACCTATACACCTCCCTGTATATACTGTGTGTGACCTATACACCTCCCTGTATATACTGTGTGTGACCTATACACCTCCCTGTATATACTGTGTGACCTATACACCTCCCTGTATATACTGTGTGTGACCTATACACCTCCCTGTATATACTGTGTGTGACCTATACACCTCCCTGTATATACTGTGTGTGTGACCTATACACCTCCCTGTATATACTGTGTGTGACCTATACACCTCCCTGTATATACTGTGTGTGACCTATACACCTCCCTGTATATACTGTGTGTGACCTATACACCTCCCTGTATATACTGTGTGTGACCTATACACCTCCCTGTATATACTGTGTGTGACCTATACACCTCCCTGTATATACTGTGTGTGACCTATACACCTCCCTGTATATACTGTGTGTGACCTATACACCTCCCTGTATATACTGTGTGACCTATACACCTCCCCTGTATATACTGTGTGTGACCTATACACCTCCCTGTATACTGTGTGTGACCTATACACCTCCCTGTATATACTGTGTGTGACCTATACACCTCCCTGTATATACTGTGTGTGACCTATACACCTCCCTGTATATACTGTGTGTGACCTATACACCTCCCTGTATATACTGTGTGTGACCTATACACCTCCCTGTATATACTGTGTGTGACCTATACACCTCCCTGTATATACTGTGTGTGACCTATACACCTCCCTGTATATACTGTGTGTGACCTATACACCTCCCTGTATATACTGTGTGTGACCTATACACCTCCCTGTATATACTGTGTGTGACCTATACACCTCCCTGTATATACTGTGTGTGACCTATACACCTCCCTGTATATACTGTGTGTGACCTATACACCTCCCTGTATATACTGTGTGTGACCTATACACCTCCCTGTATATACTGTGTGTGACCTATACACCTCCCTGTATATACTGTGTGTGACCTATACACCTCCCTGTATATACTGTGTGTGACCTATACACCTCCCTGTATATACTGTGTGTGACCTATACACCTCCCTGTATACCTGTGTGTGACCTATACACCTCCCTGTATATACTGTGTGTGACCTATACACCTCCCTGTATATACTGTGTGTGACCTATACACCCTCCCTGTATATACTGTGTGACCTATACACCTCCCTGTATATACTGTGTGTGACCTATACACCTCCCTGTATATACTGTGTGTGACCTATACACCTCCCTGTATATACTGTGTGTGACCTATACACCTCCCTGTATATACTGTGTGTGACCTATACACCTCCCTGTATATACTGTGTGTGACCTATACACCTCCCTGTATATACTGTGTGTGACCTATACACCTCCCTGTATATACTGTGTGTGACCTATACACCTCCCTGTATATACTGTGTGTGACCTATACACCTCCCTGTATATACTGTGTGACCTATACACCTCCCTGTATAAACCTGTGTGTGACCTATACACCTCCCTGTATATACTGTGTGTGACCTATACACCTCCCTGTATACTGTGTGTGACCTATACACCTCCCTGTATATACCGTGTGTGACCTATACACCTCCCTGTATATACTGTGTGTGACCTATACACCTCCCTGTATATACTGTGTGTGACCTATACACCTCCCTGTATATACTGTGTGTGACCTATACACCTCCCTGTATATACTGTGTGTGACCTATACACCTCCCTGTATATACCTGTGTGTGACCTATACACCTCCCTGTATATACTGTGTGTGTGACCTATACACCTCCCTGTATATACTGTGTGTGACCTATACACCTCCCTGTATATACCTGTGTGTGACCTATACACCTCCCTGTATATACCGTGTGTGTGACCTATACACCTCCCTGTATATACTGTGTGTGACCTATACACCTCCCTGTATATACTGTGTGTGACCTATACACCTCCCTGTATATACTGTGTGTGACCTATACACCTCCCTGTATATACTGTGTGTGACCTATACACCTCCCTGTATATATACCGTGTGTGACCTATACACCTCCCTGTATATACGTGTGTGACCTATACACCTCCCTGTATATACTGTGTGTGACCTATACACCTCCCTGTATATACTGTGTGTGACCTA